TACGTCGCCACTGATAAATGCACGCATAAGCCTGTGACAAAGATTTTAATGATGAGTTTCATCGTTTGTCGGTTTAATGATAGATGATCGAACAAACAAATTACGTATGCATGCGATACATTTCTATATTATTATTATAAAATAAATTAATTAATTCTTTCCACTCTAAAATAACATATCTATATCTTAATTAGAATAAAGCTGTTATATTATGTTTAAATATGTTATATATTAAATTTAATCGCTTACACTTTATATATTATTAAATAATTATTTTGTAAAAAAATAAAATATATAATTAATAAAATTAAAAAATTAAATTAAAAAATTAAATAAATTAAATAATTATAAATATATAATTCAAATAATTCAAATAAATATATAATTTTGTAGAAAAAATAAAAATTGTAAAAATGGTCACATATTTTTTAGTTTTATGATTTATTGTTTTATAAAATTATCTTAGAATATTTCATATTCCGAAAGTCATGAAATATGTATTTAGAGTATTTAAATAAAGTTATTTGCAATTCTTTCAAATGCACAAGGACGCTTTTACCTACATTTTAGTATTAATTTTTTACATTTTAGAACTAATTTTTTTACATTTTAGTACTAATTTTTTTAAAAAAAATTCTTATTCGCATTTATAGTATATGATATTTCATATGATTATTTGTTCATTAAAAGTGGCAGCTTCATCAGATTCTCATCACGAGGGTCTTTTGCCATTAGAGTACTGACGGATTAAGAAATGCACGGCGCAAAACGCTAACGCGATCCGATTGCATACGAGTGCATCTCGGCGGGATGCACGACGTGGAAACGCGGTGTCTACGCGTATTTCGCGCGTACGGCGGCAAAGATCAAAAGACGTTCGCACGTCGCGACGTGGCACGCCGGCTGCCCTTCAGATTTCTGACACGTTCGTTTTCGAGGCGCGGCTAATGGACGTAAAACGCCGCACACGTGACGTTTACGTATCCGTTCGTCCGGTTGTCGTCGCCGCGCGATTAAGCCCCTTCTCGCTTATACATGCGAGTGCAACGCATCGTAAATAATCGATATTAATCGCATCGCGTTCTCTATCTTGGTTTTAAATTCGCACCTTGCGACTTGCCATCCATCCTCATTCGTTTCAGGTTTCAGGTTTTCGTTCGTCCGACCTGATACGATATGAAGCGTATGTATAGAGAATTGTTATGTATGCATTTTTTATACACATTCATGTTTACCTTTGCGATTGAATTATACATGTTGGAATTTGCAAGTCGTTCGAAAAAATATTGAAAAAAAATCACAAATCGATTTATCGAAATATATAATTGTTTTAGTCACAACACAGCTCAACTAACTAAATTTATTTTTAAATATATTTAGAAATTTTATTTACAAATTTGTATGAATAAATTGTAAATTTTTTTACGAATATAATATGATAAAGATTAATATGACAAATATGATTTTTATAAGAAATTACTTATATAATTACATGTATCAGTTATATACATGTATTCATATAGCATTTATATTTTAAAAACTTATATATGGTTTAATCTTTTTTCTTTTCTATTAATATAATAACATTGGAAAAAAACCTATCAACGGTAAATATTTTTGCGCCGAGTATGCTACATATGCAATATATAAATATGTACAGAGCATTGCAGAAATATTTTTCATGTACAAAATTTTTAATCAGTACAGGTTTTGTAGAGATATCGAATTTTTGTCATGTACAAAATGTTTCAACCAAATTGCCAAGATAAAGAGAAATATCGTATTTAAATATCTTGCTGATTAAATCGTAAATTAAAATTTTATTAAATTAAAATTCGTTTAATATTAGCCGCGGAATCAAATTTTTTTAATTACTCATATCGTTAAAGTATGATTCGCTATAATTGTGTATCATTCAATTATCTGTCATTCTGGATCTCTTAGTTTTTTTCGAAAATAAGTAAATGAGGAAAGTATGTAGATTCTGGAATGCTCTGGATATTGCGGTAAACGATTAGCGCGATTATATATCGTATGTACACGGTACATATCGTATGTAATCTACGGAAGGAAAGCTGTATTCGTGCGAAGTAATCGTGCGCGTATTGATAGACTGGATATAATTATTATAGGGATATGCTACAGTTTCCTTGTTCACATCGATTTTTTTCCCAAGAGGATTCATCCTCTTGAAGGGATTAACGTTATAGGGTGATGCACGAGTTATTACATTTTCACGGGCGTCAACGTCGACGAGCTCTTGAATCACGCTGAATGATTTTATTCGTTGCAGCGTTATAAAAACATATTCGAGATAACCGAAAGATTTAACCTCCCGCAGTTTCGGATCATCTCCAGAAATGGATTCATATATAAATTATTTTATTTTTATATGAATATTGTCGTTATGTAATAACTGACTCATGTATGTTATAGTGATTTGTAAAGATTCGAAAAACGTATATAATTATAATCATTTATCAATTATAATCATCTATTGTTTATAAACATAATAATACAAACATATCTTTATTTTATTCAAATATGAAAATATTTGGTAAAAAAAGATATGTTTACATATTATTACGTGTTAAATTCTGAAATTATGAGTAATTTCGATATAAAAGTGAAAACGGAAATTATATTATTTTTATGATTAACTCTGTGCATTACATTATAAAATATTATACACGTAATCTCTGATAGAAAAACCAAGCGCTTTTATCTCGGTAATACTTGCACGAGATAGCAGATAACCACAATATGGCATGGCTAATTTTTCGCATTTCTATGCTTTGTGTCCGTTTTCACTGTTAAAGCTGAAGTTTAATAACCCCGCTGCGAAAATTTTTATGCGCTATAGTTATTCCGCTGTAATTAAAACAGGAATAATTAGCATTTATTTCGTACTGCAAAGAAATTCCACATAAAGAAGCGGAGAATTTCTCAGAGATTCATATTCTTTCATTTCTGATTCATTTTCCATTTCTGAAAATAATCTGCGTTAAGAAATAATAAATTTTAACAATTCTAAAATGATTAATTTATTCATATAAAAAAATTAAAAAAATAATTAAATGATTTGATAAAAAGAATAATTGTAGAAAAAAATGCTAAATAACATTCTTCAAACAAACTGATACATATCAACTTTTAAATTGTATATCACGTGGTTTGATAACTATAATAAAAATTATATAGTCTACACGTGTATTTTAATTATATAACTACAGATTTAATATAAGTTATCTTTTATGTAATAAATATTTTGTAATTTTTTCAAATAAATAAATATTATTCTAAAAAAATGACAAATTTTACTTACAATTCGAGAACTTTTATTTTTTAAAATTCTACAATTTTCTTATATAAAGTTTTCAATAAGATGATAACGTCAGAATAAAATGAGGGCATAAGAAACGGATTTCATGCGAGAGCACGTCTCGGGAGAAAAAAATCAAATGGAAGACAGGATGCGACCGGGAGAAACAGAGCTGCGCGTTTTTTCGAGAGACGCGGAAACGCGATGATGCACTTGCCTGATCGAAAACCGGTAATTATGCACCGACATTGGCATACGCACGGAATAAAAAAGGAGATGGAATATCGCGAATAACAAGGGCCCCTCTGCCCGAAGCATCGAAAGTAACGAGTATGACGATTGATGTCCGGTTTTGCGGGTGTAATATACACACATCAAGACAATTATTATAAGATACCCGCGTATTAAAATAACCCGACGTACTTGCGGCGCAGAACGACGAGGGAAAAAAGAGATATTCTCTCATTAAGATGAGTTATCGAAAGATTGTCTTTTACTAATAGATGCTCTCTTATTTATTTCATCTTGAATTTCCCTTCCGTACAAGATTGATCGCGGTTCTCGAATTGCACGCCATCATTACGCGGATATTATGCGGATCATATTATGCGAATTTGTCTTTAGACAATTCTAGCTTCATAGCTTAATAAGAACTTGTCAATTAAAAAAAAAAAAAAAAAAAAATTATTAAAAAATTATTTTTTTATAATATAAGAATAAATCATTCTCTTTTGAATTCTCAAAAAAATAGATTTTAAAAAATTTTTAGAATATCTTTACATCATCTTTTTTTATTTTTATAATTTTTTTAAAATCATATCTTTTTCTCATATTATTTTTTCAAGATTCTACACTGCTTTGTGTTAATCATCATATAAATTTATTTTAACAATGTGTGTATACAAAAATTGAGAATATGTATTCTATCATATATTTAAAGATTAAGAAATACGAGATGCTATAAATGTCTCGTTTTAATCGCTTCCTTCACAACGACACTTATAAATTCATCAGTGTTTTATCGAGTATCTCCCGTTTTGCATACCGGCGCCTAATTATATCGTAACTCACTCGCGTGCAGCGAATTACTCTCGATGTATCTACCACGAATGCGCTTCATATTTTGCACGTAGAAAGTGCGTTTTCGAGTAATATCTCAAGCCTGCGTGTTATTCGAAGATGAAGCTCGATGCCACACAAGATGTTTGGCTCCAACATATGTTCAACGCGAATATCTTGAATAATTTAAATATCCAGTTTTGTTTTCAAAAAGTGTAAAACAAGACTTTAAAACCGAAAAAACGAAATCTTAAATTTTTCTCATTATTATGTTAAAAATATTTTTAATATTTATATTTTTTTCTTGCATATTTGATATTTTTTTCTTGCATTTTTTAATTTTCATATGATGAGTTAAAGAACAAGAAGTTCATGCCAATTAAATTTAAATCATGTAATATATTTAATACATGTATCATATCTTCAAATTGTATATTCAGATAACTGAATGGTTATACTATATCGTTCTATTTTCAATCTATTTTGCTTGCTATTTCCTTGTTTTCGTTTTGCGTTAAATGTATGTATTTTATAGCACTTTTATCCGCATATTTGTGAAGGTATCTTACTAACATGCTTAGAATACATATTCTAATACTGGAATAATGTCGTTACTTACCCCAGATCCATCCTGATCACAGTTGATCGCCAGCAGCATCGTCGATGCGAAAATCCTGGAAAGATGCACAACGAATCATCCTCCGATTTTCGTGGACGGTCCATGGAAGATTCGTTCCGAGGCTCAGGCCATCCTGCGTAAAAGAAGAAGGGCAAAGTTCATTATCAGACGAATGATATAGAGAGCGTAAGGAAGGACGCAACAAATCACGATGGCCGCGTCGGCGGCGAAGGGCAATGCGTGAGGGACAGGAGGCGTCGTTTGGGCAGACCGATCGCCTTAACTTTCAGAAGATTAAGCTTCCCGTTTTTTTTCTCGCCCAAACGTCGCGACCAAACTTTAATGCGCCATCCGTTGCCGAACTGGCGCTTATTAGATTCGCTTCGAGTTCCACTTAAAGTTTTACGACTTGCTTGAAAACACTAATGGTTCAGAACGTCAATGATCCAGTAATTATTTCAACACATGTCGTAAATATATGTAGACGTTAATGAATAAAAAGATTCGAATAAAAATATTAAATATATGTGTTTTTTTTCTATAGACAATATACTATCATAATCGTTTAAAACATTATAAATAAAAAGAACGACATACACACTTAGTAAACTGACTTAAAATTGATGCTATCTAAACTGATTAAATATGCTAATTATGTATTTTCTTATTCTTATATACGATAATACGATTATTTTATTAGAAATTAATTAGCAAAGTTTCTTTTGATAATTTAATGACTCTACAGCAAATTATAAGCACGATTAGCATTATTTATAATTAGATTATGTTAGAAAAATAAATTGATATGAAAATTACATCAAGACTGCAGATAAAGTTATTGAAGTTATTTTAAATATCGAGAATACAATTCTCGATATTTGAAATAACTTCAATAACTTAGTACATATATATGAGCATCAAGTATACATATAAATTAATATTAAATTTTAAATATATATTTTCTGTTAGACGATATAAATTTAAAATTTAACATTGACCAAAGACATAATAGAATTACGTAAAATTTCACGAAATATGTATTATCAATAAACAATCGATATATATCTCTTTGTCGCTTAAATAGATATTCTCTGTAATTTTGCTTGTCGCGGAAAGTAATTTATTGCGCGGAAAAAGAGCTACAAAGTAGAAATAAAGATCCGAAAAAAACAATTTTTAATTTTTGTGCTTTTCGTCGCTTTGATTTCTACTCAAAATGTAATCACACTTACATACTTTGATAGATAGTCTTGATACGTTCTTCAGTTGTCAATCGTGGACATTAATTAATCGCACAAGCTGATAATTGTTAATAGGAAATAATTACGTTTCATATCTTTTAATATATGCTCGTACGTACTTCTTACGATCGTGTGTCATAAATGTGACAACATACAGAATATCTCGCGCTGATACCTGCCGCTCGAGTCTCATCGTGAATGACAACAAAGCGATGTAAACAAACACTGTACGGTAACGCTGTGGAATTCAGAGAGTTCCCCCTCTTTGCCTCCCTCTTTCTGTCTCTCTCTTTTTAGTGAAAATATGTTCAATAATACAGTATATTAAATACAATTATATTTAATACAATTATATTAAATATATTAGAGATTTTAATATAATTCAAAACAGCAATCAAATCAAATAACCAAGTATAAACGACCAAGTATAAAAAATATAAGCGAATAAGAGTAAAAAGACATTAATTATTAATTTCTTTTATCTTTATAAATTATAAAATAATTTTAAAAAATAATATATAATAAATAATATATAACTTAATAAAAAATTATAAAATAATTTTTTATTAAGTTATATATTATTACAATATATTATATATAATTAAATATTAATAAAATTATTAATTAATTATATAGCTTACACTTTTTCATTGATTTGTGACTGTTCATACTCATTCTCTTGGTATTCTTTTAATACAACAAAGCCCTGAATATATAATTATCGCCATGTTATATGTACCTTTCTTGTGCGAAAATATGCAAGTAGAATTTTCATAATTCCCGAATGTTTTCCAATATGTAATCTCGATTCTATTTTAGCTATTCTATTTTAATCGGGAAAACCATGATATGCGCGATACGTGAGAGCACTTGCGGAAAAATTGGTTAGATAAGAGTCATAAAGGCATAATTTACAGCACTGATGTATTAAGTCACTATCCGACGGGTATAAAGAGGTGTCTATGTCGCGGTTTTCTGATCGCGAGACAGCGTATGCGATTCGTTTGTGTGAACAGCTGCGAAGAATATACATCGTTTCGTGTGTATATGCAAGAGAGAGAGAGAGAGAAAACCAAAGAGAAATACGGCCCTTTGATAAATTACGTTACGAAAAATTCACGGTAAATTCGTCCCAGTCCTCCTCCTACGTCTCGTGTCCTCAGAGTCGTCTTTCCGTCGACGTGCTTGGCGTCTTTGACTCTTTGTCCGCCAGACGATCTTTGAACGCGTGAACACGTTCGAAGATCACATACATAAGATTAGCGTGAGCATTATACCGATCGTATCGAGAAGCAAAATAAATAAGTCATATGTAAAATACTTGAGAAAAAGAATTTAAAATGCTCTGCCGCGAAAGAAAAGTGAATAAAAATGTTATATTTATGAGATTATATTTTAATGCGATGCTAATATTTTTCGACATCAAATAATTACACAGAAACATTTTTTTTTAAATTGAATTTAGTTTTTTTTAATATTATTCTCGTATTAGCATATTTTTATGGAGAAACAATATTTTTCGTGTCTCCAAAAATCAATTGTACGTCCCTTTAAATTTTTCGCTTATATTTTATAATCTTGCAATTTCCATATTAATCGAAAAATTCACAAAAATTAATAAGACATAATTCATATCATTAAATTTTCTTTACAAAATATAAACGAACATATAAATTTCCTGATTAGGTTAAATAGTGCCCCTCAATTTCGGAGCAGCGCTTTATATTGTTCCCTCGTCACTCACCGTCGTGCCTGCTCGCCTAATCCCACTCGACAGCGCCAGCAGCAGGTGGATCTTCCGGCTGGATCCACGTGGCATACATGTCCCATATAAAACCCTCGCGCACCCCCGCGTGCAAAAAGATCTACGTCGTACGATCTCGATTTGAAATTCAAAAGAGCACAATTATTTTCTTTTTATGGCGTTAAAAAAACCGCGTCACTGACGATTTCAAAGAGAGAGGGCACAGGGGGCGAGGGGTGGACACGCGTCAAGGAGGCACGTCAAGACGCGTGTACGCGCGAACGGATCGCAGCTTCCGGTCTCCGCGTGAACTTGCCAGGAAGGACGGACTGCCGGGCGTGTGTGGCGCGTACGAGCGCCGCCGCGACAGAAATGATAGTGGCGAAAGTGGGAGACTCTCCGTGAAATATATAAGTCCGCGGGACTCTGGTGGTGGACCACACGAGTGAGCGAAGAAAGGAGGAGGAGGAGGAGGAAGAGACGCGCACGCATCGCATCCCTTGGTGCGCGCACCGGTTGCGCATCGTGCGCTGCATCGTGCGCTGCATCCCAACATCCCGCGAGACTTATGGCAATAATTCGACGATTAACCCGTGATTACTCGCGTTGCCAAGCACATGCTTAGCTTAAAAATAGTACGTTTGTAAATGTTTGAATTATTTATAAACATACACAATAAACATACACACAGATACAAGATCTATCAACAAGGTTTATCTGGTTTATTGACATTTTTACTTTATTTTATTTTATTTTAAAGAAAAGAGGAACTAGATAAATATATAGATTTATATATTTATAATATTTATATATATCATTTATATTATTTATACATAATATTTATATATTTAAATATTTATATATCGTGTTTTTTATATATTGTGCTGTGAAAAATAAAATTTTAATATCTATATATTCTTCATTTTTATTGAAAATAAATTTGTGTAAAAAACTTCTCTTTTCATTTTTTATTGAAAGCAAATTAAATTTTTAATCTTTAAATTAAATAATAACTTTATTTATATTTTATTATCATTGATTTCAAATATTCACTTGCAGTGTAATAATATTTTTATTTCAGTTATATATTAATATAATATAAATAATGTGATAAATTTTCTTTCATAGATGCATCTCGTATTTTATCTTAAAAGTATTCCCTTAAAAAGTAAAATATTGTTCTATATTTCGATATATTTATATTTTAGATACAACACAATTATATTGCAACATGTCGTATCTCTTTCTTAGGAGATAGCACAGAGAGGATCATTCAAAATGAAATTTTTCACTAGCAACGTAAACATTTCTACACAAAACAGAGGCGCACGTTGACTATGTTATCACTCACTATCACGCCCATTTACCGGTGAATCTCATCTAGATAATTGGAAGTATTGTTTAAAATGTTATCTGCGCGCTAAATAGACTGACGGAAATCCCGACGTGCCCCTTTTCCTTTCTCGCGCGCCCTTCGCTCCCGGTTCAACGAACTGTAATTGTGGTACGGATGGGACCGTAAAATTTCTACCTACGAGATTAGACTCGTGCTTTTCCTTTATCATCCCGATGTAACGTTGCAAGGAGAACTGCCCGAGCACAGCGTTCCCTTTTTCTCTTTGTTTTTCCGTCCGTTCTTTTTCGTTTTCTCCTAGTCGCGCGTCGCTAATCGTTCGCGAGCTTTTCTTTTTTTACTAGCGCGACGGATCGCACGTAAAATACTGTGGCGAATTGCGACGGAGCCGAGAGAACTGGAAGTGTCTTATAATGCGATACAATGTAATGCAGAACCAATTACGTTGGACGATTAAGTCCGGTAATTAACTCACTAGCAATCAACGTCCCTTGTGAATGTTGAACATAGCTTTTTTCACAATGTTCAATCTTAAAGTCTTTAAATTTCATCTTCTTTAATAAATTAAAGTCTGAAAAATGTAACAAACGTACCAACAATAATGTAGAAATAACATAATAAATTTTTAAATGTAAAACAGAAAGTAACCGAAATAATGAATAACAAATGTAAGTAGATAAATGTAAAAATTTAAGATATAATATAAAAAAATATGTATCTTAATTAAAAATAAGTGAATACGATAAATAAATAAAAATTGAAATTAAAACTTTTCAATTGTGATTCTGTGCAATCAATTAATGATTGAATTCAGATTGCATTCTCCAACTTAAGAGCAACATCACTAAATAAATATGGTATACGATAATTCGAGGAACACTTCAAGCATTTATTTATTTTCTGTCGGATATAACAATCCAGCCAGTGATATACCAGTAGCCTGCACCCTTGAAGCATTAAGCTTTTTTACCGTACAATGGACTACAGTTATTGCATTTTACAGCATATTTAATATTCTTAGAGTCACAGATCATAAAATATTGCAATATATTAATACGGAATTTTTAACAAAATTACTAATTTGAGTAAGAAATAAACTATAAAATATAAAAAATATAAAATTAATATATAAAATTAATATAAGTAAAAAATAATATATAATTTCTTTTAATTTAAATACTTTTTGTGCAAATTTATATAAATATTTATATTAAAATATGCTGGACGTGACAATATATAAATGTATACCTAACATCTGAAATTAAAAAAAAAATTATAATTTTCTTTTTTTCGATTTTAGTACATATTATCGAATTTGTGAGTGCGTTTCGTCGAACGATCGACTCTCGCTCGAGTCTGTTAACAAAGAACCAGTCATGGCGATTATATGTCGAATGCTATTGTAAAATGCGACATCCATAACCATCCTTCGAGGTGGTCGGGGCCTTCGATAAAAGTTCAGTCACGCTGTGATTTATTAATTATAAAGCATTGTGATCCGCGCGAAGCCGCATAGTTGCGGTTTCACGGTGATAAAGCAGCACGCAGCGCTAAAGATTTCTACCTCGAAAATAGATTGCCTGATCGACGCTAAACACTTTCGCGATTTATTTAATACATTGGCTTTTAATTGATGAGTTAATATGGAATACACTTTTTTTATTATCTTTCTCCCTTCCAAAGATACATTCACATTTTTAAAATTCCAATCTTAAATTTCAAATCCTAAAAATCAAATTAGAACAATTATGAAAAATATTAATGCATACTCAAGATAAGGAATATAATATCTTTATGCATTATAAAATTTAAAATATAATAATATTTTTAATCTTTTTGTTAGAAATTCTAACAAACTAAAAAGAATTTGAAATAATAAATGATTATAAATGTTCGTTGCATAAATATAAATAATCGAGCTTAAGAAAATTATTAGATAAAATAGAATAAAATTGCATTTCATTATAAAGCGATACATACACATACAAAATGTACACTTAATTAAGTGAAATATAAACTGGGTAACAATCAAGTTTGAAATTAAGATGACATTAGAGAAGTTCAGATTAAAAGAAATCTTAGATGACAAAACAAGCAAGAGACCCACGATGCTTCATTGCCTCGTAGGCCCAGATTGCAGCCCGTATGTTTAGCCCAATAGCTCCTTAACTGGTTATATCATAGTCTTTCAGGCCGTTTCTTATCCCAAACTTTATCAACATTTACATACTGAACGCGTGTATGAACAATAATTTATGATGTAACGTGATAACGTGATAACGTGATAACATACAAAACAAACAGTAGGTTATTAAATCAATCTCTTTGATTTAAGTTAACAAAAATTATTATTTTCAGTTATATTACAATATTATAATATGTATAATTTATTATATAATTTATCAATTCTGATTAATTTATTACATATTTGATTAGTTTGGAAATAATTTTATTTATCTCATTCTCTGTCTTAAAAGCGTTTGCCAACAGTTGTATAATTTAATTTCAGTAAATTATATTGCACAATAATACTGACTTAATTAAAGAGGAGCATACGTAATTTCGAGATAGATTTTGAATCATCTATTATATAGGATGGCGCGTTTATTGCAATCTGAAATGATTTATTGACATCTATATTTGCAAAGAAACTTTTACTTTCATCATTAAATCGTCGACAAGAACAACTCTCGATTTTCATATCTGGTGTTGAACCTTTCGCCACGTGGAAAATTGAAACCGCAACGTCATAAAGCCACCTCGTTCAAACGAGCAAATATAGTGAAACTTGGAGAAAAACTGACTTCTTATGACTTCCATTAACCTCCTGAGAGAAATCGCGATCGTTTGCTATGCCGATAATATTTCAAACAAGTTTGTATTGTAATTTTTCGAAAGTGATATATACGTCTAGATTGTCGCGTAATGACAAAATACCGCATGAGATTAAAACGCAGTCACTGATTAATCGTTAATTGATTATCATGTTTTAACGCAGTATGATAATTTACACACGAGTCAATCTAAATAATTAAATCGTGATCGACTGAGAGAATTAAATTAATCGCTCGGAACAACAATATAATAATAATATAATTAATTTGTTCAACTAAAAGAACATTTATTAAATAGAAATTGAATGATATTAAACGTGATTTCGTTATTATTGCTTTATTGTCAGTTGACAATTATTGTCTAATTATTTAAATTTAGACTGTTGATCATGAATTATTGCATTGTAGCGTTAATTTATTGATATCGGCGAATAGAATTTGTATACATATTTAATTTGTCCTTTATTAAAATATCTAGTCTTCATTATATTTTAATTGTGAACTTTTCATATTATTCTTCGCACATCTTTTACAATTCTAAAACGAAATATCACGCGATTAATTGATTAATTGCCGGTTCTTAATCTTATTAGCGGCGCGATTCTCGGGAAGATTTAAGCTGCTAAAAAGCCGTGATTTCGCGTATCTACGAAGAAAAATGGGTACGCTTGTTCCCTGGATCGCGCCCAACTTACTTTTTTTTCGGCAATGCACGATTCTGCTCAACGCTTCGTCGAATTATACACCATGACCTGTAATTTGGACACTATTTCACATGCCGTAAGCATGCAATCACGAAAAGGTGTTCCCTTTTGTAAGTGGTTCCACCTAGATGAAGAATTTATCGGCTAACAGCCCTTCCTTTAGAGAGATTATAATACACGTTGCACATATGATCCGATCGAAGATCACGGCGTTATAATGCATCGAGACGCCATATGAAGCGTTTAGTACTTTCGTCCTTCTGACGGTATTACAAAACTTTCTTGATTCCACGTTAAGAAATTCTTACGTAGATTGTGCAAGAATCGCAACTGTTGTATCTTTACTAGTTGCAATTAATTTCTCATCTTAAAAGTTTAAATTTATGAAAAAATTTTTTGATTTAAAATATTATATAAAGGAGAATGTACTCTGTATGTATAAAGAATTATTTAATTTTCTTTGTCAGTAAAGAGTGATGAAATATTTCTATAAA